TTTTCTTTCACGGCAGACAATTTCAGCGGCAGCAGATGACGTCTACCCAATAATACACACATCGCCTAGCTGGCCGAAGCGCGATAGAGGATCGGCGGCATCGAAGAACAGTAGCTGTTCACCGATCCATAAACAATTCCGCGATATTATCGCTTCCTCGCTCCCATGCGCGATGGCGGAGTGAATTTTCGATCGACGATCGATCGATCGATCCTGCGTCGAACAGACACCGTTTAATTGATATATCGTTGTTCGATCGGAGAACACTTTCTCTCAACTTGATCTGATAGCGCGCTATTAGAAATATATGCGTGATATATACATACAGTGTGCAAATAGTGAAACTAGGAACCTCTTACGTTATCTTTGCGAATGAGGAAAAGAGAAGAAAAAATCTTAATTATCGAGATCATGGAGTATTATCACTATCGTGTAATATCAAACTTTTCTTGAACAGAAAGAAGGGAAGAGGGAAGACGTTTTTTGTAGGATGTATTACTTCTGATATTCTATCTTTTATAAATCTTATGAAAACGTTGACTTTATAGAAAAATTTTTAATGCACGTTCTTTTGGTAAATTTTCAAAATGCTTTAAGCAGTGCCGTATAAAATTTATCATCCGCTAGAAAAAAAATGTAATCAGATACTCTATGCAATTTGTAAGGTTGCAAGATGCGTGCTCTCACCATCGCGATCCCTATCCCATATCCCTCCGCAATCAGGGAACTTTCACCCTCCTTTACGACGCAGTTCCGTTCGATTACGATCGTTGTTACGTTCATTGCGCAACGCGCACGCGGCTTTCCACGAGAAACCCATTAATTGGATCTGGTGTCGGGTTACCCGGCTTCAATTCGCCCGATGTTCCACCGCGTGAATCCGGAAGCTCGTACGCGCCGCTTATACCTGGTGGTATCGCTCTTTTGCGTCTACCGACGACGAAGTTTTAGACTCGAAATTCTTCGAAATCAAACGTGTTTCATTATTTTTTTAAAATTTATTTTTCACATTAAATAAAAACACATGAATAAGAGAAATTCACATTAAATAAAAATACATGAATAAGAAATTAATAATAAATAAAAAATCATAAAATAAAAAAATAATAAAATAAAAAAAGAAAAATAATTTTCTTTAAAAAAATCACAAAAAAACGATATTCTATTTCAAAAAAGTTACTATAATATAATTGCTATCTATACAAATTAAGTACAAATTGATAATTGTTGTTTTATTTCGTTTCGTTACGCGATTCATCAAAAGTCCCGATCAATGTTCGTTCTCGTACATTTTGACGAAATGTCATGTATAGTTGCAATCATATTGTGCCACGTTGCACTCATTCTTTCGCTCTCTCTTTTTCTATCATTACAACAGGATAATGTTCGGTTTCTTTTTCATCACATTACATCGCACGTAGTAATCTCTTCGTTCTTGATTTTCAAGAATTTGAGATTATTTTGTTCTTTTGTTGCTTCCTCATTTTTTTCTGAAATCTATCGTCTTTCTGGTGAGAAATAAAATACAACATCGCATGTTATCGGTATCTATTTTTCGAATTCTAACACGCCATGAAAACGGACAAGAAGAAGATGAAGAGAGACGATCACTTTTAGAGAAGAAGGGGAGATTCTCTTACTGACGCTGGTCTCTCAGCTGAATCCATTAGCCGGCGCCATTAATATCCTGATAATGATGAGCGATGAGCCGCGCGAAGGACGAAGCGGATCAGAAGAGGACAAGCTGCCTTCCGATGATGCGAGAGTAAAAGAGAAAGGAAAGGAAAGAGCAAATGAAAAAGGGGAGAGCTGAGTAGACAGATAGGTAGATCGATAGATAGATAAATGGATAGATGCACGCTGCATTATAAGAGACTCCTTGAACAAAAGGGCAGAATCTCTTGGAAGGAAAAAATGTAATTGTAATAGAAAAATAATTAAATTAAATTAATAATTAATAATTCTCTTATCGCGAATAAATTGTATCGTTCAGAATTATAATTAACGTCTTTCTTTTAGCAAAATTATCTCTCAGAATGCTTTAAAATTATTTGAAGAAGGACACTCAGCGAGCAACGTATTAAGATGACATTTTTTATATGAAAACATGACAAGTACACGTTGTATGAGAACATTTTAGTGTTAATCTAAAATTTGATTAACATTTAAATTTGCAAAAAGAGAGAATGAATGAATGAAAAGAACACGGTATAGGCAAAAAGCAGCACAGACACGACTTTCGCATGTATATAGGCAGCACATGTATTACATGCATATCCGCGAAAGCTTTGATAAATACTGCTTTCCTTGGCCCGCTGCCAGGTAGCACGTCGCACAATGTATCTCATCGCTCGTGTATTCCTCATTGCGCTTTTCACGAGAGAAGATGCACTCATCAAGGTGTTTAAAATCTCTATATCCGCTAAATATATCGATCAATGATGATTAAAAGCACGCTCCTCTCAGTCGAATGACGGTTTTCGATTATTTAATAGTGCAAGAATTGCCGCAAATATTTCTTAAAGAAAGAAGCCTGTTTGTATATTTGTATTATTAAGTATTGATTTAAGTAAACACAGAAATTCTTGTCGTTTTTTGATTATTCAACGATTTAAATCTTTGTAGCAGCGTTCAAATTATTTGCGTCAATTGAATTCAAAGCATCAAACTTAGCTTGATTTTTGTCACTACTCATTTATTTGTCGTTCAAGCTAAAATTGAATATGTTCATATTGTCTTGCTCTAGTATTTTTATATATGTATGAATTTTGTAGAAAATTGGAGTTGAAGTTTAAGGAAAACGGAATTGAAGTTTAAGGAAAACGTTGGCAAGGACGAGGATATTTCATTCGCGACGACGAAAATTTCCGTTCACATGGTCTTCGATAAATATCGCCTTCTTGTGTAGCGTGTCAAAACAACCTACAGTTTAATTTCTGACTCCATACTGCGCATTGTATCACGTCCCTCTTTTAGCAGGAGACGACATGGTCTATCAATGCGCATTTAAGCAACCCTTTGACTAACCCTTCTCAGTCAGTCTTTCTGAACCTCTTTCAAAATCAGGTAAATGAATCTCACTCTCACAATGCTGCTCGATCGATACGACGAGAAGTCAACAATGGAAATGGCAGCGAGATCCGATCTGAGGCTGAACGGAAGTGTATACCCTTCGTGCGCTCCGGGAATCCTGTCACTCCTTCGAGAAAATCACTTTCCCTTTTTCGCAGGCGACCCACGTAACTCGCCCGAGAAGCGAAAGAAACCGTGCCATTCCCGTTCCCTCGACTTCGTCATACTCAGCACGTGTGTCCGGGCACTTCCCGGCGCACCTACGTGCCTCTTATGAAGAATCCTGCCACAATTGTATAGGGGAGGGGGGAAAAGGTGGAGATTCCGATACGAATTTCCGGCGTTCCGACATCGGCGATATCGCCAATTCGAGAAACGAGGAATTTCGGCCGCGAAATTCCCCTCCCGCCTTTTCCCCCGCAGAGACGTAAATAAGGATCGGAGGTATTTCTCATCGTTATCGATATGAGAGATCCACATCGATTTCCGGATTTCTCGCAACCCAATTCGTTGCCGTAATCGCCTCGAGCGAGATTATCGAAGGGGGAGTCTTAGTCTTGGGAAATCTTCTTATGGGAGATATCGAACAATGAATTATTTAAATGTTAATTTCTCATAAAACTTCGGTAAATCAATCTTTCAATTGTTGATGGAAAATTTATTATACTTCAGTTTCCGTCAAGTTTCTCCGCTGCATAAAATAACTTGTTAACTGATTTATTAAAGAGCCTCTTTTTAGCTGTATCACTGAAACATCAGCTGTAAAAATAGCTGGCAAGTATATTTCGATGAAAGCCACGCAGTTTTAGCTCATTTATAAATATTATACATTTTTTAAATATTAGATCTATATTTAAAATCTTGATATTTTATTATAGAATAGAAATAAATACAGACAACGATAAATATGTACTAAAAAGTAAAAGTGAAAATACGCGAATTCTTCGACACGTAGACGGTGGTTAACGCAGTGTTTCTCTTCGTGCAAAAGCCGCGTCTTGGCGGCGATGGAAGCACAAAGCTGCGCTGTCTCGATTCAATCTTTCGGAATGAACGAACGAAGCCCGTTTCCACGGCGATTAATTCGCCTCTTCCGGTATTATCGCGCCCGCAGCGGCGTAATAACACGCCGCGGTATCGCGTAATATTACCACAAAACGCTATAGCGCGTTATACAACTCTCTTCCGCGAGAAAATGAGGAAATTTATACTCGCTCTCTCTCTCTCTCTTACTCTTTCTCTCTCTCTCTTTCTCTTAATATCGATCACCGCGAACCGGTTTCCGGTCCCTTTAAAGCGGCGAGATGTCGAAATCCGCTCTGTAGGCGATCAGTCTGCGAATAAATTCAACGAATTACCGAAATTTATTTATGATGTCTAATAGAATGTAAGAACTAGATTCGCACACATGTTTTCGTTTAATTCTAGAATTACGAGATATGACGTGTTTGTGAAATTTAAATCGTATTTTGTTAATATAAATTGGCCGTAGTAATAAAAGTTTTAACATAACTATATTTGATAGATTGAATGCATAATTAAATTGCATAATTGACAAGTAATATACAAAATACATATAAAAACAAATTTTACAAAAAACACGCCAATTACAAAAAAATATAAAAAGACAAATTTAAGAGATGCTGTGTTGAAATCTATTATTTATGCTATTTTCTACTATTACATATATGTACTTTTTTACCATAAGATAAAAATGTATATTTTTAAATTCATAGTAGTTATGAATATCCGTACTACATGTATGAGACATTCGAAGACACCTGATATAGTCGGGAAGAATCACTTTTACAAATCGTTTGTCTTAAAATAATCCTTGAATTGTTTGTCTTAAAATAATCTTTTTTAACAAAATGACATTCGCATAAGTAACTCTAATATATTCTAACATTTTGATTATCTTTTTTCAGATGATCGACGCCTCTTATCATACGAATCCATCGCTGCAAAGCACTGCCCTGATCATCACCTGCGCGGTGGTTCTACTACTGATGGCCGCGATCGTGTCCGTCGTCTTCTGGAAGTGAGTACCTTCTTTTCCCTATCATTTTTCTTTACCGAACGCACACGCAATATCGCACGAAGTATGACGAGGCACGCAAAAAAATCCCTACGAGGTCATCGAGGCCGTCGGTGGTCGCCTTCCTCGATAAAGCGTCGGTTTCATTCGCGCCGGGACGTCTTCTCGAGGTCGGAAAGTCGTTCAGATTGTAACCGTATTTCACGGGTTCGAGAGAGACCGTCCCGAGATCCTTACAACCCGAGGGGAGACAATGGAACGACCACATGGGGAGGGAAGCGACGACGAGTGGAAGGAGCAGAGGGGAGGGTGAGCTCAAGCAGGTTACGCCAGAAAGAACCTACCTATCGCTCCTAAATTAGCCAAAAATAGAGCAAGGACGAGGAAGCGAGGCGCTTCGGAGCTAAGTGGCGTGCTTCCGACAGCGTCTCGGTTATTCTTCGTCCTACGTGATGATCTACGATGCGGTGGGCCGCACCGAGGGGAGCTTTTGGTCTACATTTTGGAATACGTTGCTTTGCAAAGTAGTCGTTGAATAAGGTTTGCGCAATAACAGCTGCGTACATATATTTTCTAAAACTTTCTAAAATTTCTTTGTTTCTTTTGTTTGTTCTTTTAAATTGCTCGTGCAACGGTAACGGCAAACGGTAAACGGCAAACGGTAAATGGCAAACGGTATTTAAATTTCCAAGAATAAATCACTCTCGAAAAATATGTATCTCCCATAGAAATTGGAAAAAATGAAATAAATAAAAATAAATAAAAACTAAAGAAATGAAAACTAAAATATAAAATACATGTGTGTGCGTGTGATAAAAAAATATCCGGAAATAAATAACTTTCGAACGGACTTTTGAACGGAATGAGCTAAAAGAGAACATTTCTTACATTTTTAATATTTATATATTTAGCAGATTTATGCTTGTAATTTTGCACGAATTTTTACGATATGGCTTTTATCATCAATTTAAGACGGTAGCAAGCGAAGCGATCGAGAACATGTAAGAGAGTGGTGTCTCGAGCATATTCTAAATTACTCGAATATAGAGCACTCGAAGATGCGATGAGAAGGCCTGCCACTTTAATTAATACCTAACCGTGTTCCCGACAGCTTGTGGTTCTGGTTCCCATATCGCGTACCGAGATCTAGGTCGTGGTGCTCGAGATTAGATGATGACTTTGTAATTAACGAGAAGGATCTTGTCGAGGATGCCATCTTGGCAATGCCGTGAAAAAAAAAACACCGCGCGTAATAATTAGCGAGGATAACTTTACGAAAAATAAAATCGAGATCGTATAAATTTACGCTCGCAAAATCCGTTATTTTTCTCCATTTAAAACTTTTATCCGCATCATCTTGATTTGCAAGCGACGGAAAAGGAAATGGGACAACGTCGTTGCATTAATGGGCCATAAATTAGGCGAAAAAAAAAAAAAACGAAATGCCTCCTGTTCTACGCCAACCAAGGATGTTGGACTTGCTGCTCGCGTATTGATTTACAAGCAACTGTAATAACTCATCCAGAAAAATTGCAAGGGCCTACCCGTAATTTTTCATGCATTCTTTCGAAATTCCCAAGACTGACACAATTCCAGTCCGTTCCATTTCGGCCACGGTTTGTCCCATTCTTCCAATCCTTCTTTCAAGAAAATTTCAGGAAAACTCGCACATATATTTTTTCCATCTGTCTTTACAAACGCCTCGTAAATTTGTAAAATTCAAACAAAAACTGTCTCGAGACCTCTTTCGACCTTCGCAACACGGGACTCGACGGGGGGGGGGGGAGGGAGGGACGATACGCCTAATTGACATTCCGTAAATTACGCAGAAATAGGCCATTCTCGAAATGGGCGTGCGCCCAGGCGCTGTTACGTTCCGCCGACAGCGGAACAGCGCGCCGGTAATTTGTGACACGGTAGCTCATGCTAGGCCAGCACACGGTTCGTGGATCCGCGGTACACGGGAAAGTACATTCACCGGGGTAGCTTACTTGGGAGATTTACGGACGCAGTCGCGGCCTCTCCCCCGGTTTTCGCCCCGGTTGTCGCGCATTGATTGGATCGCGCGGTAAAAAATGGAACAGCTCGATAAGACGAATAGGAGACACGCGTGAGAAGAAGTTCGACACACAATTCGATGTCGTGCACTTTCGCGTACGATATTTTCAACGTCTTTCCGAAGAGAGATCTGCAAATTTCTCGCCGAGTTAACTTCTTATGCTCCTAGTGAAATTTACAAAATTTAATTTTGAGAAGGAAAAATATAAAGCACTCGCAGTACATGAATTTTTTCCCTTAAGAGCCTAGTCTATTTTAGTATGAAAAATTGATGATTGTTAGGAATTTTTAATAAATATTAGAAATCAATCTCTTTTTGGTGTTTTTCATATTTTTATATTTTTTACTTTCATATTTTCATATTTTTATTGAGATTTAAACAATGTAGTATTTTTAAATCTTAGATATTTAGTTGTTTTGTTCAATACGAACTTCTGCTCGCAGCATGTTTAAAAATGCATGATTTGACAGTGTGACATGCTGTTCCTCGTGTAATTGTCTAAAATGTAAAAACTCGGTGTAGTTTTCCATAGGATATTTTTGGAACACTGAATCTAATTTCATTATAAAAGATTGAAAAATAATAAAGTAATGTCATTTTAAAATTATATAATTCAATTTTACTAAAATTTTTACTTCAATTTTACTTAAATTTTTTTATTGCTTGAAGGTAAAAAAAATATCAAATATTAATTTTTTTAATTCTTTAATCCAGTATCTCAAAAATATTCTACGAAATAAAATTAAACCCAGTTTTTTCATTTCATACTATTACATAGGGAACAGCATATCATATTCGCTTTTGAACGTGCTACTCGTAGAGATTCGTGTTGAACGCAAACAGCTAAATATCCAAAAAATATTGACGTACTATATAAACATAAAAACATAACTGTAAAACGTCAAAAAAAGCAATTTTAAAATAATACTCTTGAAGAAAAAATTTCCAAAAATCATCTTTTCATACTGGAATAAACTGGGCTTTTAGGGAAAGAATAAAAATAATCTAAACCAAATAGATATTAATGAAATATTTAATATGAAATTTACTAATGTACAAAAAACACAAATTTTCATCCAATTATATCGATTAATATTTGCCTCGCTCTAATCTTCGAATATCGTCTCTCGTCTGGCAATTGATTCAGACCGTTCGTGTCATATGATCTCCAGATCACTCGATAGACTATCAAATCGCGATTAACCCGTCGCTAATGAGCAGTGCTTCTGTCCTATCTAATGACCGATCAATGGACATCGATTCAGAAATCGCCGGTCGAGAGGACGATTCTATACCGCACAATGCCTAGCATTCAATCGTCCGATGCGATTTTATGGCGACGATCCTCGAAGGCTTATTCGCCGCGACAACGACGGTCCTGTTTTCGCGCTTTTATCGTTCATGCCCGGTCATTATTGACGACCATACCGCTAGTACATATCTCAAGTGTTACCAGTGTCCACGTATTCGCATCTTTGTGGGTGGTATCGTAATCTTTTACTATAACCGTGTAATGGGCTCTTGTAAACCCGACGAATAAAGACCGATTATAATAAAATTAAATGTGTGTCTGGAAGAATTAAAATATTTCTTTATAATTGGAAATATTATTGACGTCAGAAAATAGAATTGTATCAGAGATTACGAATCACATTTATTTACGGATATCAAAATTTATGTAAAAATTTTTATTCTAATATTTTTATATAAAAATGTATTTTTATATAAAAATGTTAACTCTGATATTTTAGAAAAAAAATATTCCCAAAGTATATATATTAAGAATCATTATTTTTCTTTCTGAGAAATAGGTTTTTAGGATATAAAATAGACGGAAATAAAACAATAATAAAAGTTTTCTTTAAGAAAATAATCTCGAATATTAACTAGCAGTACAGACTTCAAATTTATAAATAACTGCTATTGTCCCTACGCAAATTTCTGTTATCTTTCGTTAAAAGTTCTTGGCCAGTTCGGGACACAATCGTGACTCTGTTTTCGCGTTCGTAATGACTGTGGTCCATTATCGAGCGTGACGTCTCGAGTGTTGCGACGTCTCGTGGCTCATTACTTTGTGAGTGGCATCGGCCTCCTTTTCTCGACATTTCTCCTCGCCATTTCGCACGCTTTCACGGTTCCTCCTCGTGTTCGTCGATTCTCCATATTATTATATATATATATATCTCTTCTTGTTTTTATGCCGCAACTAAAACGATATGAAGACTGAAAGCAAAATTACAAACTTGGAATCGCAATCTCTTTTATGAAGGAATCTTTATTCAAGTTTAAAGTTTATGTATAAACTTTCGAATAAAAGTTATTTAATTCTTGACTTTTCTCATATTAGATGTCATTTTATTGTTGGCATAAAAATAAATAATTTTAGATGTCATTTTATTAGGTGTCATTTTATTTTTGATATAAAAATCCAAAAATAAATAATTCTATAAATAAAGAGAATAAAAATATAAAAGGAACTTGTGTGGAAGAGAAAAACTTATATAACATTTTATTAACATTATTAATGTATAATTTGTTTTATTTCCACGTGAGCGATTTGGAGGCTGCGAATCTAGATTCTCGCCATAAGAATCAACGGCTCTTTAGTTATATGACACTGCGCATACAATCGGAACGCGGAGAGAACACGGTCGCGCGTAGTTTGTATGCTAATCAGAATCATGTTCCTTCCCATTCGCGTATCCTCGTATTCCACTATTCTCATCCCGCCATTGCGGGCTTTAACTATCATCAATTCTATTTTCTATCGCGTCTTAGCTGCGCGCATTCGCACCATTGTTCACGTTCGCGATCCGAATGCGGCCGTCCGATTCCGAGTTTTATTTAATGTACCGAGATCGCATTCAATGTAATGGAGAAACGAAAAGCGAATGGCCACATTTACCACAAAGTATATCGTGCGAACACCAGCCGCAACCTCGCA